TCACGCTGCCCTTGGAAGAGTCTTTTGTCTTTTCTACTGACAATAGAAAAACAAAAACAAAAAAACAAACAAAAAAAACCTTCTAGACCCTTACTACTTAAGGGCAGATACATACATAAGAAAAACACGAAAATGTCTTTTACAGAGTGGTAATAACATTAGGAGAGTGAGTGTTAAGGAAAGTGCCCGCAAATGTGTAGTATGTCTTAAGGGTAATTTTAAACTAGAACAAGAGAAGAAGAGAGATTTTTTGAATGTATTCTTCAGGTCCCATTCAGTTTTTGATGATATGCAAACAAAATCTTCAGAGTATTTTTGTGAAAATCCTAATTTACAGCTCTAGGATTTCACTTCCTGGACACCCGAGAATCTAATAATTTCCAAGACCCCCTTTTAAGAAACCACCTTTTCACTTCTTGCTCATACTCTCAAATCCCTGTCAGTAAAAAATGCTCTCTCCGTCCCCTCCCACCTTCGATTCCAAAGCTTGACTTACCTCTTAGCTCAAGTATCAACAGATTATCTTTTATGAAAGCCATCTTTTTTCTTGCTAAGCCTGTGGTTATATGTCAGTTTCCAGAATTTCCATTACCAACATAACCCCTCCTTCCAAAGTTCTATTTTTAAATGTCCCTTGAATTTTGGCTTGTTCTCCATCAGATGACCCTGTCTTTTGACTTTTCTGTTCTCTGAATAGAGGCAAGAGCAAAATGATGTTAAGGAATATGCTAATTTATACTTGCTCTAAAGTGACATTGGCCATAGGGAATGGATCACACCTGGTGCATCACAATGAGTGGAGAAAAGAATTATAAGGGAGCATCTGCCAACTTTTCAAAAACATGGTCACCTTCCCTCCTCCTGCAAACAGGTTTGCGACTTAGTGAGCATTTAAAATTGTGGCTCAGTTGGGCCTGCCATTCTCTTAACGGACTGCTTTCTGGCTTCTATGACATTAAGATGTATCCATCACAGTTGAGATGAGATAGTCCTTTTCTTGGTGAAAATCATAAGGAATAAATAAATAAATTTACATGTCTATCACAATAAGGACCTCAAGAAAGATAGCTATTATTGATTTCACCATTAGTGATTGTTGCAAGCTCCATGCACAACAGATTAGTAAAAGTTTCAGGAGAGGACAAAATCAATTAGCTTGGGATAAATGCATAGGAAACATTAATCAGATGCATAGGAAGGGAGTAGAGGAGATAGAAACAAGATTAGAAAGGAAGAATAAGATTTGGATGGAGAAGACAGCAATTTTTGCTTGTATCTTCAAAGTCTACCTTTATTGGCTTTTAAAAACCTGCAGTGATATATAAGACACTCATTTGGAAGTAAAACCTTCCTTAGCCTATCCTCATTCAATAACCTTCTCTTTTATTTTTCTTTCAAAATACCTGAAAGAAGAGTGTCTCATCTTCTTCATCACCATTTACTTCTCCTTTCAGTGCAGTCTGTCTTTCTCCCTCATAATTATTCTGAAAACAGCTTTGGTCAAGTTGACTTCATCTTTTAAAAAAAAATTTATTTAGGTTCAGGAGTACAGGTGCAGGTTTGTAATATAGGTAAATTGTGTGCTGTGCGGGTTTGGTGTACACATGGTTTCATCACCCAGTAATAAGAATAGTACCTGATAGGTAATGTTTTTTTTTTTTTTTTTTAAGACAGAGTCTCGCTCCATTGCCCAGGCTGGAGTGCAGTGGCAAGATCTCAACTCACTGCAACCTAAGCCTCCCGGGTTCAAGCAATTCTCCTGCCTCAGCCTCCTGAGTAGCTGGGATTACAGGCATGCACCACCATGCCTGGTTAATTTTTGTATTTTCAGTAGAGACAGGGTTTTACTATGTTGGCCAGGCTGGTCTCGAACTCCTGACCTTGTGGTCTGCCCGCCTTGGCCTCCCAAAGTGCTGGGCTTACAAGCGTGAGCCACAGCACTCAGCCCTAATAGGTAATTTTTCAGTCCTCATCCTCCTCTCACCCTCTGCCCACCGGTAGGTCCCTGTGTTTGTTGTTCCCTGATTTATATGATTGGCAGTTGTGATTTCGCTTTGCATCATCTGGAAATGTGTATCGCTCCTTCTTTCTTAAAACTGGTTCTCTCTTGGCTTCTTGTGTCCCGTGCTCACTTGATTCTCCATCCATCCCTTTGACCATTCCTCTTTCAAGTCTCCTTTGTGAACTGGTTTTCCTTGGCTGCCCATAAATATCATGTGCCCTAGTTCTCAGTCTGCTCTTCTCTCATTTAAAGCATTCTCCTGGATGTCATTTTCTCTATTCCCCAAGTCTTGGTTATCATCTATATACTAGAACTTTCCAGAACTCTCTTCTGAACTCTAGATCTGCACCCTTCAGATGTTCACTGGACTCCATCCTTTGCATGTCCTCTAAAAACATCAACCACAACATTGTGGTTGTGGAACTCATTCTCTTTTCTTTAAACCTGTTGCTACTATTGTACTTTCTTTCTTAGTTAATGGCAAAATCAACCAAGCCAAAAGCCTGAGGGTCATCCTTGGTTTCTTCTTCTTCCTGGATCTTACCTGGTCACCATTTCTTACCTTTTAAAGCGAACTTTCACGTATTCCTTAGTCTTCATTTCTATCATTCCGCAATTCATTTAGAGATAAAACTTAAAGGTTACTATAATCGCTGTCTAATACTCTTCCTGTTTCTACTTTATTTTTCCTATTGCCAATTTTGTGATCTTCCAAAATTCAAATCTATTCAAACTTCTTCCTAAGTCTGTTCATGAATTCCCACAGCTGGAAGATAAAATCTAGACATCTAAAGCATTTCTGACAAAGTGTTATGATCTCAGCCCTTGCTCTTTCTCCGTTTGTTTCATCCCGTGATCACCCTGTGTGAATGGCTTTGAAAGTCCATAAATAGTCCGTGCTCTGCTGTACTCTGTGGTTCGCTCCCCATGCTTGGAGCAGTCTTGTCTCACGTCTCCTCCTGCATAATTCCTACATGTCCTGTATGTTTTAGTTCAGTTCTTGTTTCCTCCAGTAGGCCTTCTCAGAACACCCCAGCCCTTGCTTTCAATCTGGGTTACTAATTTCTTCTGTGTTTTCATAACAGCTTGTGTTTTACCTCTATATCGACACTAATCAAATTAGATTGTGATTGTCTGCTTGGTAGAAAATTTTTTTGAAATATTAATCCAGATTTTCATCCAACACTCACTTTCCATGTATTTTTCTATACCTTTCTTCCACTTAGCAGTATTGCATTAAGGGAGAGGCAATATTTAGAAAAGAGAACATAATTTTTGGATAAAATTTCCTGAGATTTAGAATTAATAAACAATGAGAAACTTTTTAGCTCAAAAGGATCAGGTTATTAACAATAGATTAGGAAGAAAAGGTGAGCAGCCAGACTAAAGCTTCTTTGAACTGGGTGAGGGGTTGAGAAGTTAGAGGAGAAAGAAGAGAACCAAGAAATAAGGGGTGGAGTGTCCCTGAGAACTGTGAAAAGACTTTGCGGCCTTTTATTTAGAAGGTGTCTTTTCCTAGTCTGTTAAGAAGTTGAGGAGAGAATGACTTAGCATTTTCTGAAGGTGACAGATGTTTTCTGTTTCCTGCCTACTGTCTCAATGCTGTTGAATAAGTGGCCACATAGTAACTTCATATTTTAAAATTAATTCAAAGCTAAGGGGTTATTACTTGAGAAAACAGGGTAGAGGCAGATTCCTGCTAAAACGAATTGGATCTGGTTCTGCCACAAGAGCCTCAGAATAATCAGGAAACATGTGAGGTCTTTGAACAGAGTTTTATTGATTGTCTTAAGTTTATCTGGGAGCAAAGGACTATAGTGTAAAAATGCATTTTATAATATTTCAAAGAGGAAATTTTGTGAGCTCTTTTGAAATGAAACAAATTTTCAACATTTGTTTTAAGTATTAGATATACATATTAAGGAATATTTAGCCTATCAACTATGGTGTTTTTATTGATATTAACTTACACATTTTCCTCCATTACAATGGTTTAAGTTCATGGAGGAACTCTATGTATGGAGTAAGGACTCTATTGTATGTATTTTCATGGATACTGAGAAATTAGCATATAGAAGGCATTTTGTAAGTGTTTGTTGATAATATAATTGGAAACCTTTCAATTTATTATCATTGTTTTCATATTTTTGGTTTCTTAAGCCCTACCTGCTTTGTCTACTCAGGGAAATTACCCTTCTATTATCAAGTTCAATTTAGAAGTTAATTTGACCTGTGGGCCTCACTGGCTCTTCTGGGAACCTTCCCCCTTGACCAATTTTCAGTGCAGAGTCTTGGAAATTGCCCTGAAGAATATTTGGAAGAAATTTTATAGAATCAGTGCTGTTAACACAAGTAGAATGCTGCAGGATTGCAAAATTAGTAGTAGATCTGCCATGATACAAAGAGATTCATAGCTGGGTGCTTCCCCATGCCCTGGGGTCCATGACCAACGATAGCCTGCACAGCATCCTAATCATCACTGCACCAAGCACTGTGCATTAAATGAAACCCATTCCGTTCAGACATCCCATCCATATGTTGTCCCTATTGACTGCCCTTGCCTTGGGCTGTGCCAGTAGGGCATCAAGTGATCATCAAACCTTAGACTTCTGATTTAGGGACACATGGTCTTCAAGTTGCAGACCTGAAGACTTTTTACTACTTTAGCAGCTATTCCTGATACTACATCTAAGGTCTTTGTAACTCTGGAACCCAGTCAATTGGGTCAGATTAGTTATCTGACCTTGAAAATTATCAACCTTGTAAGTTATCTACCTTGAAAGATTACAAGTATTAGAATTCATTCCTGTGCCTAAGTCCACATTCATGTGTGAGATATTCAACGAGCTAAATATGTTCACTCTTCAGCTTTAGTTCAAACTCAGTGTTGTACACAAGATTATTGAAGAGGAAGAAGAAATGGAAATAAGCATTCTGGGATGAAAAATAATATGAATTCAAAGAAGACAAAAGCATTAATCAGACTAAGGCTGAGAAATTCAGGAATATAGTCTCTTATTTATTGTAATCTTCAAGAAATTAAACAAGGTAAACTCAAAGAACAAAAACCACTTTCTATACAGAATTCACATACAAACTGAATACCTAATAGAGCACATACCATTTTTTGCACAATTAATTTCAATAAAGATAATTAAAACTTCACAATGTGAATACACTTCATAGCTTTAAACCCACACAAGAGCTCCTGTGGACACATGAAGAGTCACAATATTTGCTATGCAGCAGTAGTTTTCAACTAAATGTCAGTCACTATATGAAAGCATTAAGCTGTTTACAATATTTTCTTAAGAAGAGTTCCACAGTGCAGTCACTGAGAAGGGGCCAAAAGTGCCTGGTTCCAAAGGAAGATCTTCATCTGTGCATTTCCAATGCCCTTTACGGGAAAACATGGAGCTACAGAAAAATATCTGGGTACACATCTGCCGGGTGGCATTAGGTCAGACAATCTCTCATGGTTTGGTGCACTGGCAAATGTCTAAAGCAACTGCTGTAATGTGGCATTAAAGCAATTTACATATCGTGGCTGAGTCTTGAGTGGCTCAGCACAGAGGAATATAATGATACAACAGCTTGTCTTCCTCACGGAGAACAAAAGGTAGGGAGCTAAACTGGGGCAATTTGAGTGGTTGCAAAGGGCCGGTTTGGCTATCTTAAGAAAAACAGTGAATCTATAGCTGATAGCTTTGGCCCTCTTCCATTCAAAGGAAACATAACTGCAGCCTTTCCCACTTATTCTCCTGGCACAGTCTCCTTAGTACCTAATTATTTCTGGAATTATGTTTGACCTCTTCAATGGAGCTCTCTCTGACTCTTCCAGTTCTTACAGGTCCCCCTTCTCTGTGCTTCTAAACCCTGACATAACCTAGCATTTAGAATACATCTAGATTTTTGTCCCTTGTTCTCATTAGGGGCGGGAGCCATACCTCTTCCATGTTTGATTCCCACAGCACTGAGCATATGGGGTTCAATAACTATGTGACGACTAACTAAACATTCAACCACACCCTTAAGTTATCATTCTAATGTTGGCTACCTGTTTCCATTCTGTAAAAATTTGGCACAAAGTTGTCACTAATCTCTCTATTTTACCCACCTTCACTTGACTTCTTCAGTGGGTTTTGAGAGCTAAGAACAAATTTCAGTCTATCACAGTTACATTCAGGCCACATATCACCCACATAGACCAAATCCATTTAATATGATTGGCACATCCTCACATGGCAATCTTCAACCAAGCTCCATAGAGAGAACTGAAGGCTTAAATATGATGAACACATGGCCATGGTCATCTAGAATTTACTGTCTTGCATCGATTTTAGTGAGTAAGTCATAATTGGTTTTTCTTCCTAAGGGTTTCATGACTTACTCCACTAACTGAATGAAAAGACAAAGTACAATATTAAAATGAATGCTTTACCTTAAAAAGAGAAATGGCAAGTAGGAGTTTAAGATGGTTACCATACTTTAAAAATTCACATAAATAAACATTTATAGCTTTTAGTTATCCAGCAGCTAGGCTTAAGTTCTTGATTTTGCATTTCAGTGAAGTTTCAGGCCACCAATTAGCATTAAACAAGGGAGTTTGATGATGAATGTATGGATTTATGATGGTGTTACAAAGTGTTCAAGGATTCTGATTTGTTCCTCTTGTATCACCAGTGTGGACAACTGAGGATTGAAAGTGAATACAACATTAGCTACAACCTGGAAATACACTGGTATTTTAAAATTCCCAGCATTGACATTGTTGAATTTGTAAATAAAATACAAGTTTGAGTAGCAATAAAATATACATACAAATAGAGGTGAAAATTCTTAGTAGACATACCATGTGATCAACCTTTCTGCAAAGAAAAACATGACTTTTCCTGATGCACATAGTTTTTCTTAGGTATCTAAATTAGTTGCTTAAAAGCAAAATGTACAATTTTATATGACACTTAAAGTGTGAGTTATAGAAGGAGATGCTTTTATAAAATAAATGAACAGCCATTCTGTCTTGACAATAAAATCCACAATTCTAAAAGATAAAATTGACATATATTTCCAGATACTAAATGTTTGGTTTTATAAGAAAAAAGTATTTTGAAGTAGGCACAGAGGAGTTTTACATGACACCAATAAGATATTTACTGTATAGATTGCACCACGAGACAAATACAGCTACAAGAAAATCATTTGAATAAGTCACATAGCTATCAAAGCATCTCACACATTCAGTATAATTCACTCTTTCATACTAGTTTATATACACTGAGTAAGTCATTAAATATTGCACTTATTGGCCCATGAACCCTCAATTCTGAGGTGTTGAAAATAGAGAACAAATCTATTTTATAACATATTTCATGCAACATTTAAGACATTTCAGTTCTACAAACACCATTAAATAGTTGTACATTTGGACAGTCCAACGGTATCACATCACGTCTGACATTAACAATATATTAACAGGAATTACAGGACAGTTTTCCTTCAGCACGTATTCTAGGGATAATGAGATAATGCATGGAAAGCCATCATATTGATACAGCAAACAATACCCAAACTTTACTTTTACAAGAAGAAGTATGGAACCACTAGACAGATGTAGGTCATGCTCAAGTCCCTGAAAGGGCAGGTGTCTGAGTGGCTCATGTTCCATCTGTGTCTGTAAGAACAGCATTCACGAACCTAAGCAATACCTAGCCCCAAATAACATGAATGCAAAATAATTTGCATCAAGAAATAAAGCCACAGCCAATTCTCACTTGTCCACGATGAACGAAATATGAACACAGGTGAATGAAATACACAGGTAACCTCAAACCTCATTTCAGCAAGTAATGACTGTTTTAAACTCCACCAATAATGATTGCTGATGGGAAGTAAATGGTGAAACTTGAGTCTCATTTTCTATTCTTGGTTCTGTCGTTCCATGAGGACAGTGTTTTTAAAAACTGCAATAATTTACAAGAAAGTCAGAAAGTAAAAGAGAACTGCAAATAGAAAGTTCAGTTTGTCCGCTAGCTAGATGGTCTGATCTTAATACTCGAGCTCTGAGTGAGGTTTTAAAATAACTCATTTCTGTTATCTAGAATGTTTGCAAAATGTATTTCCCCTCCACTCTCTCTGTTTAGAGGAAATTAATTATGTGCACAGACTAATCAAATTAAATCAGTGTGAAGAACCCATTTCATGGACCTTGTAAGTAAGATGTGAGTTATAATTAGAACATAGTAAAAGGTCCCTTTTCCCTAGCACTAAGAAAGCACCATAGATGGACTTTTCCCTTCTAGAAAAAGTATCAGTGTTTACCTGATACCTTTGTATCAGGCTAGTGAGCCTATGAGTGATTGTTGAGAAGGGCAGCACTGTGTGTGTAATCTAAGAGCAAATATTCCAATCTGTCAAAGGGAAATATTTTTTGACTGGAGTGTCAAGCATTTCTGTAAATGCTTTTAAGAAAAAATATGTGTGAAAGACCGGTAACAATAGGTAGATACATTTTAGACAAATCCCCCAACTTGGGTTTTCCCAGTTTGGGGATACTGTATTTCTACAACCTAGAGCCCTTTAGATATGGTGCAGTGCAGGGGTAAAAGCTTTTTTATTCTGGTCATAAACTTTATCTTTTAGCTAATTTGTCCCAGTAAATTCCAGGATATAAAATAGGTTATGTCTTTAATTGACTTTGGTCAAAAATTCACCTAAAATATGAAGAACTCCCAAAAGCTGGCTCAAAGGTTCAGCATATCAAAAAGACTTCATCATTTTACAGGCAAACTACTGAAGTGAAGGTAGTCAACACACACAGGCAGAGCTGAGCAGAGCTGTAAAGGCTGCATTTTCCAGGGAGTGACAGAAAGGCCACATGGGTGTAATTGTCCATGTGGCACCCAGACAGCACACTAAGTGACTATACAGGCAAAGGAATGGAATTCCAGGTTCTAGTCATGCAGACTGTAATTGTGGAAGAAAAGATTCTTCATACAGACAGGCCAGTTCCCGAGTATGCCACACCAAAAGTACCTGACTGAGCATTCCAGTAGTACTATGAAGATTATTAACAAACATACAGTAACTTTTTGGTCTAGAAGGGTTTTAGTTAAGACTTTTTATAAATAAGATTCATATCACAGTTTTTCACATGCAGGTGCTACCTCAGCTTGGTACAGCTTGGTAGTTTGGATATGCTTTTAATATAGTCCCACAAATGCCACACTGTTAACTAAAAGATCACATAGTACATTCTCAACCATGCACTAAAAATACATGTTGGATAAATCACATCACAATGAACCACTGATTATGGACTACCATGCTCTAAAATTAATATTGCTTCATGGAAGTTCAGTTAAGAGTGGAATGTATTTAACTTTTAAAAGAGAAGGTTGTGTATACCTGAAAGTCTATAGTCAGCATCCATGTATTTAAAATTGAAAGTTTAAATTGGTTCCTTAAAAAATAATCAGTGTACTAAACAAAAGGCCTATTATTCATATGAGTAAGATTTAAGTAGGTGAAATATATATTTGTTTATCGAGTGTATTGATGTCTTGTATAATTTGGGTTGTAACTTTGTAGATTTTATTATTAAAATGCCGCAACTTTCTGCTACAACTGGAGGTATCATCACAGTTTTCTTGCCAAGTAAACATCTCAGCTCTTAGTTACCAGGCAGGAAAAGAAGACTGAACTTCAAGTGACCAGAAGGAGGAACTAGAAGAACGTCCTGGCTTTCACAGTCGTTAGAAGTTCAAGGCAGTCGGAGCTGTTCAGTGGGGAAGCACAATGAACTGATTCATTGGCCTGAAGCACTTCCTTTTATGAGCGTGTAGATGTGATGCTAACATTCAAACCTCCATCTTAGGATGCCTCGTGCACCTTCTACTTCCATCCCCATCTCCCAAAACTAAAATGCTAATTCACTCTGAGGATGGCTATTTAAGTGATTAAATTTTCTGTCCAGTTTTTCAGTTGCATTGGGAAAGGAAAGGAAGGTACCAACACCAAAGCTCTTGGAAGAATCTATTTGAGACAGTCAAGGTTTATTCCTAAAGGCATTTAGAGGAGTGAGAGTGGTCAGGTAATGAGTAGCAAAGAAAAATAAATTCACTCTTAAAACACCAGTTTACTTGCGTTGAAGACAAGAGATAAATGTGTATGACTTACAAACTAACAGGAGTATGCACTTTTTAAAATGTCTTGTTTTTTTAAATATAAATTTAGTTAGGCCATTGATAAAAATGACCTGCATTTGTTTATGTATTTAGATTGTTGATAGATGAAGGGTTTTGTGCGTGTGTGTGTGTGTGTTGGCCAAAAGGCTGAAATACCTTGGAACTATAGTGCTATAATTTATAAGTAACATAGCTCATTGCCAGTGAAACCTCACTTAGTTAACCTTGAGTTGCTCCAAGCATTTGCCAAATTTGGTATTAGACCCTGGATTTCTTGATGCAATTAGGAATAGAGAATATTCTCTTTTCTTACATACTTTACAGCAGAAGCAAGTGTTCTTTCTCTTGAGCTCTGTGACTATTTCTATGGAAACTTCTCATTGAGTTATTTGGAATGGAAATCCAAGCAGGTTGGGAGTTTCAGAACTGAGAATCAGTGAAATTCGCTTCCATTGGGATTTAGAAATTAGAAAGTATCAGATGTTTCTTGGCAATGACACTTGGGCTATTGTTGCATACCTTTCCTCTGACTGGTATAAAATGGTTCAGCTTTGGGATGTTTGACGCTGTGTAAGTGGGCACTTGGCTTAGGGCTTCCCATCTAAGGGCCAATTAATTTTAGCAGCAGTCAGTTCTTCATGGAAGGAGTTTTCAGCAGAGCAAAACTCTGCTCTTTCACTTTTAAATACTGTTTCATTTTGATTTTCATTTTACAATAATACATACATCAAGGTCCTTCTGAAAAAGTCATTGAAATATTCTTTCTATGCTTTTTACATCTATTTATATATGTGGTATGAGGGCTTTGAAGGAGGATGGGAAGGGTTTCCTGGCTTTATTAGTTCCTTTTAGATTGTAAAAGTGAGCTTAATGCTATATTATTTAACATGGCCACTTTCTGGCCCAAGTTACAGAAGTATTACAACATCATGCGAACAGACTACTGCTGCAAACAAACCTGTTTTTAGGCCCCCTGCTTATTCCTTTCCATTCACTGTAATTCCTGTGATTTTAAAGTTGGTTTAAAACCACAGTCCAAGAGTTGGTGATGGTTCTAGAAAGTGATGGTGGTGATGATAATGGTGTGCATTATGGGGGTTGGAGAAGGCAAGTCATTAAAAAATAAGGGAACTTGGACCTTGGGATTCTAGAGCTACTCACACCCTTCTTGGTTAAAATGCTTGTTGCGTAACTGGCATTCGGTAGATACATCTCAGTCTGTTCGATGCCATTAAAAACTAATAAAACATTAATGTTTTCTTGTCTTTACCATGCTAAGGCTTGCCTTGTAGGGTTCCAAAGTAGAAACGTACTACTGATGAGTGGTTCTTACTAGGAAGGTAAGAAATAACATGGAAATGCTTAAAGCATTCCAATGCTCTCTCCCCTAATTTCCAACTTTTGACTCACTACTGTATGTGACCTAGTTCTGTAACTTGTAAGGATTTATTCTCCAGAGATATCTTCAGGTGTATGTCTGTTTCACTTACATCCCATACTTTTATGGGCAGCTTCTCTATTTTTGAAAATATGAAAAAAATTCTTTGGCATAACCACCAAAAAAGGAGAAGGTTTACTTAATGGAACTATCCTTCCAAACCTGCCAGTCTCTGCTGCCTTCCTAAATCCTAGCAACAGTGGTACAGAGGCCAGGTTTCCCTGTCATTCTGCACAGCTGGTAGGACTTATTTGCTCTTTATTCATATAGGTTATTTTGGAAGTTTGTGATACAAAATTGGAATGTTCCAATGGTTTCTTCCCGCTTTTAAGTTGCTATGGACCCTAAATATTTCAGAAATTGAAATACTACAGTTACAGAATGTTTGTTTGCTGTGTAACTTAACCATGCATGTAATAGGAATATGCTTTAGAATTTATAAACATTTGGACTTAAAAAGATGATTAGAGACTAAAATTTTTCTTTTCCTCAACTTGGGACCCTTTGAAATCCGATTTAAGTAGCATTTAAACAGGTAAAAGAGCTTAGCTGAGGTTTCAGAAGATGGCCATGTTTGGGGAGGCAAGTCTGCATCCTATGGTAAGAGGAGCCCTAACAAGCTTCAACATAAGCTCTAGTCCAAGAGTTGGTGATGGTTCCAGAAAGTGATGGTGGTGATGATAATGGTGTGCATTATGGGGGTTGGAGAAGGCAAGTCATTAAAAAATAAGGAAACTTGGGCCTTGGGATTCTAGAGCTACTCACATCCTTCTTGGTTAAAATGCTTGTTGCATAACTGGCATTCAGTAGATACATCTCAGTCTGTTCGATGCTGTCAAATATTCTAGGGGTTGGGTAGGATCAGTGAAAAAAAAAACAGTACTGAGTAGGTATTTGCTTATTTAAACGTGTAATCAAAGATTATTGTTAAATAGCCCCAGTCAGGTAAAATTAATGACTTAGGAAAATTGCAAGGATCTTCAAAACAACATTTCAATTTCTTTATAGGCCAGTGATCTCCTCAGTTATTAAAAACAGTGAAATAAAGACACAGTTGCCAACAGTAAACTGAACAGACTCATGACAGCATCCCTCATCAGGAGAAAAACTTCCATTTGATTTTCCATTAAGAGTAAAGCAATTGAAGTCTCATGACATCTTCCCCTGTGCATGCACACACACACACATACACACACATACACCCACACGCGCGAAATTCCTTGGTCATCATTCCTACAAGTGAATACTATAATTTGAATCGATGGGACAAAAGCCAGTTATAGTGAAATTATAGTCTGATATCCCAGAAGTAGTCTGAAAACAAATTTGAAACCAAAAAAAGGCCTAGCAGACAAATAAATAACAAGTCACATGCAGGTACTAGATGTTTATAGATGGATAGTCCTTACGAATTTAAAGATCACATATTTGCCACATATTAAACAGGAAATCTCCCAAGAATTGAATGCATGTATGAGCCATCGACATCAAATTATTCCTTCAAATAATTATTAGGCAGTATAAATGAAGGTTAATAGGCCATTTACAAATGCTGCTTGTTGGCAGCTGGAGCCCTCTGGAGCTGCCTGTGTGCATGGGGACACTAGCAGGCGCAGTTGGGCTGCGGTGGAGGAGGGGTTTCCTTGAGTCTTGTGTTCTGCTTTGCAGCGGAGATGGCAGGATCAGTCTCCAGACCCTCTGACATTTTGTCGCAGATGATATCCACAAGGCGCTCAAACGTCTGCTTGACGTTAATGTTATCCTTGGCACTTGTTTCAAAAAACTCAAACCCTGGAAGAAACAGAGCTTGGTCATTTCACATTTCTGAAATTAAATGGGACTTGATTATGGCTTTAAATGGTGATGAGTTAATGGTCACACAGCAGTAGGTGGTGGGTTCAGTGTAGATAAGAGATTAGAGGTGGGCATGAGGTGCCACTGAAGCAAATGCTACCATCTCTCACTCCATTAACCATGAACAAAGAGTTAAAAAGTGGAATTGGAGAGGTTCACATTTTACTTTTCTTTACTGATTCATTTGCATTACCAGCATGACTGAATAGATTAAAAATATTCTTTTGCAAGAGTTAGTAATGACAACATTAAGAATCCTCAACACCACATCTATGATCTTTTCCATCCCTTCCCTCAACCCCCAGCCCACCATGTAGACTCTTGAAATCTTTTCCTGGCATTATTTGGCATTTTATTCTATTTTTATTTCCATATTCTGTCAAAATTTTTAATATTAATTTTTTGAAATCAGTTTAAACTCAGAAGGCTTCATGTGCATACTCTGCTATAAAAGGGAACACCAAGCTCCAACTGAATCCAGCTCTAACTTTTCCGTGTCTGCCCTGCTGCTGCCTAATGATGGGTCTGAGAGTGGGCTTCTAGTAAATGTTCAGTATCGAAAAGGACACAAGATGGCACTGAAGAGTCATAAGATTGACCTTAAACCTGCTTCAGCCTCCTTCAGAAAATTTTTGAGTAGTGTTATTCCAACAGCCCTCCAGGGCTTTGTATACCTCGGCACCTATCAGCCGGGTATTGATTTTTCCATAGCTTCTGTTATTTATCAGCAGGAATGTTTTTACCAACATCTGGGAAAGGGCACTTGGCAAATTTCAAATGAGCTGTCGGAGATTGTTAAGAAGGTACAAAATGCAGCAACAGCCTCACACTTTCACCGAGGCGCCACTGTACCTGGGCAGAAGCAGCCTTAGTATGTTACTCTGTACACAGTCTTATCACTCTATTGTTTGCATTCACATTCCACTGGCTGAGCTTGCCAGTCAGTTGCCATGACAACCTCCTCACTAGGCTAGCCAGAGATTGCTCTGGTCCATGCAGAGGACGTTGATTTAGGATGTGTTGGGCTGAACATAGAAAGGCTTTTCTAATCCATTCTGATTTTTACACCCTATAAATCCTTCTGGTTACATCTGGCCCTATCTCAGAGGAGCCACATGGATTCAAAATGATTAAATCATGTGATTTCATCCCAGTTCCCAGGGCCAAAAGAAAAAGAACAGACTAATATTTTGCATCCAGGTCAAAAATCCCTCAAATAACCTGGAAATACTTATTTTCTTAAATAGTATTGAAGCTAGACAACAAAAGGCAATTCTCTTAAGTTAAAATCTCCAACTTAGTCATTACACTATTTGGTTGAATGACTACATCTGACCTTGAATTTCCCTAGCTACTCTCTTGTTAACATCCATGTGAATAACTGCAGGATGGGCTGAAGAACGTCGGTAGAGCCAAGGCTCTATAAAATAGAGGTGGATACTTCAAACTATTGTGGCTTGTATTTTTCTTTCATTCTGTCTCTCTGGACAATGCTTACATGGTTCTCTTATAGTCTGCATTTAAAAAATCTATAGATAAGGCCATCTGGTGTTAACAGAGCTCTCTTTTCTAATGTTTATACAGTCGATAGAGCTAGACCATTCAACTTCAAGTAATTCAATCCAGATTTGGGGAAAGGCAAGTAGAGATCTAAGCAAGATCCTTGTTGCTAAGATATCAGACCTATTGGTATCCTTGTTGTGATTTTTCCCAGAGGTAATGGGAGGCTGCTTTATGTCACAAGATACCAAGAACCCACTGAAGAATTCCAGATCCCTGAATGAGGCCTTGAAGAAAAACATCCTAGAATTTGGAACAAAGGTCTCATTTACAAGTTCAGTTTTCTCATCTTTGCTAATACTTCTTGTACTTACAAGTATGATTTGGGAAGTCACTGAGCTTGAACAGTATCATAAAAGATTCAGCCCTTATGAAAAAATGATAATCCACACAAGATTTTGTCAACTGTGACATGTTTAGTCTGGACATCTCAACACCCTATCATCAAACTGGTATACAATTTGAGGTCAGTAAAATGATCTTTGATCTCAGAAGCCAACATGCTCTCAGCTTCTCAACCTTAACTGGAACCCTAAGAATATGTCGCAATTAAAGAGGCGGTGTGCCGGAAATAATGGCACCTATTTATTCAGCATGCTGGGAAGGAGACATCACGAAATGGTGAGAGAGAAATTGTCAGTCAAAAGATGTCGGATCTAGCCTCACTTATCAATACTTCTAACTTTGGGACCATGAGCGAGTCAATTTTTAGAAATCCTCAGTCTCCTTATTTATGACATTTGTCTTCCTTAACTTACAGGGTTATTGTGAGACTAAAATGAGGAGAGACAGGCACAAGTGCCAGGCAAACTAGACCATGCTGTGGTAACAACAATAGCAACAATAAACTGCCATTTGTTGAGTGGTCACTATATAATAGGTGCTATTCAAAGCCCTTTATACATTGTAACTCATTTTGTCTAATAGTAGGTGTCATTATTTTCTCCAATTTACTGATGAGGAAGTGGAGGCAGAAAATGGCTGAATAATTTGCTCAAATATTTCCTTGCTCAGCTAGTAATTGGCAAAGCTGGAATGTGAACTACTAACTTATGCACTCTCCTGCTTCTCCAGATACACTGAAAAAGTAAGCTGCCATTTTGTTCTGGCTAAATTGTAAGTCCTGTGTTAATTAACAATCACAATGTACCATAAACTTTTATCAAGTTAAATAATCAGAAAATAATTAACTAGATTTAACACTGCCAGTAAACCAAAAGAAAGTCTTTCTTGGTAATTCCCAAAGTACTCTGATATCTTGTACTGCTTAATATTCATCAAGATGGTCATCATGACAGCTGTACTTCTACACAGAATTCTAGAATTATAGATATAAAAGGTTCTGGAGGCTGGGTGCGGTGTCTCGCACTTGTAATCCCAGCACTTTGGAAGGCCACGTGGGTGGATCACCTGAGGTCAGGATTCCGAGACCAGTGTGGCCAACATGGCGAAAACCTGTCTCTACTAAAAATACAAAAATTAGTCCAGCATGGTGGCACATGCCTGTAGTCCCAGCTACTTAGGAGGCTGAGGCAGGAAAATCACTTGAACCTGGGAGGTGGAGGTTGCAGTGAGCCGAGATCGCGCCACTGCATTCCAGCCTGGGTGACAGAGTGAGACTCCATCTCAAAATAATAATAGTGATAATAATAAAAGGTTCTGGAAATTAAAGTGCCTTTCATTGACCAGATATGCTAGACATTCTTGTCATAAGTTTGTCATAAAATAAGATATTCAGGATCGAAATCAATATCATTAGTCTTTTAGGATTTATTTAGTAGTTTAGATTTGGAGTAAAAGAATGTTTTCTATATAAACATGATTTTCTATCCAAGTGAACCAATCTTTTTATTCAATCACCTGTGTATGAGGACGCTCATGCCCACAACTGTGTATGCCCATGGGTGCTTAAAGCTCATGGCCTAACTTATAACCACTAATTCAATCACTACAGCTTTTGTTTTTTTTTTTACTCACTCAGATTTTATGGCTGTTACCTCCCAGTATCTCTGTATTTTCTCAGTATTTGGAGCTTGTTCTCAGAAATCTTTAATCTTCCATTTGTACACACCAACATTAGTGGGAAGCTGGCACTTCAGTCAATGATACTTCAGAAACAGAGACTTACAACTTTGAACATCACTTCCAATCTACTGGGTAGAAGCCTATGGTTCAGCAAAATCAGATAAGTAAGCCCAAGGTCACACAGCAAGTTGATTGTGAAGTCTGACAAAGACCTCTTGATAAATAGGTTACTGATACAGCTTACAGCCTTGAACACCTGTCTCTCAGACTACATCATCCAGCATTAGTATTTTCAGCTCATGTAGGTTTCTTCATCAGCAAATCAGTGAAGCCTTCACTTAACTATAGAAACTCTGATCATTCTGTCTCATTCTTCCCTTAACAGAGCCTTTCTCATCTCTCTGGCAGAGGCAGGCAGCACTGTTCCTGAGATAGATGAGCTTTGCACTGTGGTCCAGCACATCTCTTGCAGAATTCCTCACGCCTGATCCTGAAAGGGTCATTCTGTACTTTCCAAAAACTATTACAGGTACAGCGGGACACTAATCCCTTCAGGTTCACTTGATGTTAGGGACCAGAAAGAAGCTCAGAAAGGTTTTGTTTGATAAAACGTGTTAGCTGTGCTGAGGAAGGAAGAGAAGAAGCACAAAGCCAACCTGTGTCCTCTTCATGATGGACAATGAAAGAGCAAGCAGAGAGAGGCAGAGAGAGTGTAAGCCAGACTTCACTTTAGTGCCAAAGGGCTACAATCCTATACCCTGGCTTCATAGGATTGGGGTTTCACCCTCATTAGAAACACCTGAAGTACGGGCTGGGAGCCATGGCTCATTCCTGTAATCCCAGCACTTTGGGAGGCCAAGGTGGGAGGATTGCTTGAGCTCAGGAGTTCGAGACCAACCTGGGCAATATAATGAGACTCCACTGCTCCAAAATATACAAAGATTAGCCGAGTGTGGTGCTGGGTTCCTGTAATCCCAGCTACTTGAGAGGCTGAGGTGGAAGGATCGCTGAGCTCGGTAAATCAAGGCTACAATGAGCCATGCTCATAACACTGCACTCCAGGCTGGTGACAGAGCAAATCACCTGAAGTGCTTAAAAGTTTCTGAACTCCACTCTACAAATACTGAACTATGGAACGTATGGGGCTTTAGAACATGCATTTTCAACAGGCTGCTTGGAGGTTTCTTACACGCATCAAAGGTTAAGATGTTCACCCATGTTCATAGCAGCATTATTCACAATAGCCAAAAGGTAGAGCTAATCCAAGTACCTATCAGCCTATGAATGGGTAAGCAAGATATCTTATATACAAATAACGGAATATTCAATTTTAAAAGAAAGGGAATTTTCAC